ATGGCATAGAAATTGTTTTGTATCACATACTGTAATTTGTTGGCAATATCAACCAGCATTAATGCATTGCTCCTCCTGAATGTTATCATAATGACTTGACACAAGAAGCTTGCCTACTGAACTTCCGAAGAAATAAGAAGAAATCAATTCTGTATAAAGCTGAGCTGTGAGTCCGCTTTCTTAGCTCAACCAAAAATGTCACATAGACAAGTTGTTAAGGAAATCAAGTAATTTATGTTAGATAGAAGGAAATTAAAATACATGTTTATTATTCACATTTTTCTAGTTATGCTGAAATGACATTCATGGAGTGACACTTCCAGAATGTCACTTTTGGAAGTGGAATTTCTTTTTATGGTAATTAAGTGATTCATTAAAAGATAAAAATGATTTTGTTTAAGAAAGCAGGAGAAAACAGACAAAATATTGGTCTGCATTTCCTTATGCTTTTTTTTTCATTTTTGTTGTGCTTATACATGTTTATGTATTTCATATACGTATTATCCATTCAAATTTTTTAATTTTCAATTCACACCTAGTGTCTTGCTATTACCTCAAACTCACCACAGACTCACTCAGACACAAAATCACTGTCTCCTTCTCTAGACATCCTTTTTTGAGGCCTCTGATCTTTTGTTTGAGACAGGGTCTCATGTAATTCAAGCCAGTGTTGAACTCACTCTGTAGCCCGGGCTGGCCTCTCACTGAGACCCTTCTGTTTCAGCATTTCCACTGTTCCCTGTGGGTTACTGGTATTTTTAGGAAAGTAAGTGGAAGAAAAATTTCACTTCCATTAGTGAAAGGCAACCGTAAAATATACATACCAAAGGTGAAATTGTAGTTTCGAAATCCTACAGGCCATATTGCCTTTTGAGGGTACTGGCCTGAAGAGTGGCTGTTTGGGAGAAAGAATGTGGAAGTGAGAGAGGTGTTACTAAGGTGTGTTAGAACCAAGTGTGCAAGACTCCAGGCAGGGCCTTGGCTAGCTATGCATGCTGAAGCTTTTTAAAGTTTTATTTCTGCACTAGTTATAGGAAACTCTTTCATTTCTCCAAATGTTTCATGACCAGTTGTTATGTTTCCTTCTCAAAAAAGCTTTTTTTGAATTCCCTGGGCTGGTGGGACTTTGTACTTGCATTTCTCCTGCAGGGATCACTTGCTCTGCCCCGAGACGGTTTTAGTCATCTCAACTGGAGAGAGGATGTTACTGGCATCTAGTGGTTGAGGCCAGTGGTGGCGCTAGACATCTTGTAGTGCATAGGATTGCCCACCTTCCCCATTGAATGATTATCCAGTCTATGATATCAGTGATAACATGTCTGAGAACCCTGCCTAAGGAGAATGTACTTCCTACATTTTCCTTCTTTGTCATGGCTTTTAGTATGATGCCTATGTAGATAAATACTTAACTTATTTTATTGGAGTATAAACTCTTTGTTGGGAGAGTACATGCTATGTATCATTTGGCCTACTTTTGAAAACTAAAAAATGAACGGTTAAGAGAAGCAAAGCATTATAGAACAAATCCATTTAGTGGTAATATAATTTAACATTTTAAAAAGAACTTATACAATTTGGAGGAATATTTTAGTTTAATTTTTGTTTAGTTATAAAATCTAGAGCTTGGAAAACATTTTAAATGTACTCCAGGCTGATTGTTTTTTTTACTATGAGAGACTCCTTTTGATTTTTTAAATACGGAATTGAAATTCAATTGTAATAATCCTCAAGTGCCAGACTGTGAAATTGGTATTTCCTCATTTAGATATTATCAGGATGTATGGCAGCCTTCTGTGCAAAGATATATACTACGTGTATCAATTCATTAAGAATATTAATTGCAGAAAAAGTTCCTAGATGTTCTTGATATTTCTCTTCAACTCCAAAGATGAGTGATTTAAATTGCTCTTTTGCCTAACATATTTACTAAGTAAGGCAAAAAGAGACTGAACAATGTGTTTTTCTGCATAAATATTTGGTTTATTAATTTCTCATTAGCTCAGAGGTATTTAGATACATCCAATAAACTCCTACCCATTAATTATTTAATGTCAAAGATACCTTTGATTTTTTGTGTAAAGACTAATGTATTCTAATTATAGTCTCTTTGTTGAACTTTTGCAGAACTTTTCACCTCTCATTAGACTATTATTAATTTTCTTTTCATGTGTACACACACATACACACACATTAGATTGTAGAGACCCTGAGGATAACAATGGATATATATATTTAAAATCCAGGACCAAGGGTATAGCTCAGTGGCATAAGCACCTGCTTGGCAGGCACGAGGTCATGAGTTTGATCCCCAGAACTAGAAAAACAAAAGCAACAAAAAAATTCCTACTAAGATGCAATATAGTAAAGATCTGACATATGGCAGGTAGTATCTGTTTGTTCAGTGATTGGAGTTGGAGTTCTCAGATACTTGAATGTTAAAGGCAACATTTCTGTGCACATAAAATTCCATGGGTGTTGGTTAAATAAAAAGAGAGAAATACTGTGCTCAGTAGATTTTTAATTAATAAATTGCAAGATAAGATTTATGAGCATTATGTGAGATAAAAGTACAGGAACACAAAATTGCAAATGGATGCATTTTAACTGAAAGGTACTGGCATTTTATTAAGCCAAAACTCTATTACTCTTAGTAGAAAATATTTAGCAAAACTGTTACCATGATTCTGGAAAATTCAGAGAGAAGATTCTTTGTTGTATACAGCTAAATTAAAACATTATAAATTGCAGCTAAAAATTAATTCTACTGTTGCTGAAGTATGCTTAGCTTCCAGTTAGAATCCAGCATGTGAATTCTAGACCCAGCTTTCTGTTAATTGCCTATCTTCAGACAAATCACTTAACCTTGCTGGATCTACTTTTCATTTAAAAAATTTGCAAAAGTGGGACATTTTGTTTCCAATATTGCTTCCATCCTTGCCCTTATATTTGCATGAAGATTTATAGTTAAACTTCTTTCCTATATATTATCTCATTTTATCATTTTTACAATTTTGTAAGGAAGGCCTGGAAAACATTATTTTCTTGCTTGTAATGAGTAAACAAGCTCAAGCAGTTAAGTGACTTACTAAGCCTGGTACGTAGCCGCCCAGTGCTCTTTCTGAAACAACATGAAATTTACCATCTCTCTGAGAAAAGTAAGCAATCTGTAAAAATGACTTTTTTCTCTATTTCAGAATTAAACTTTTAAAGTAGTCTTTTGATAAAAATTTAAACTTTGTAATTTTTAAATGGTGCTAATATTTGTGCTTATGGGTTTGACCTAGGATTAGCCTATAAAATCAAATATGCATTTCAGCCTATGTTGACTGCTATCAGCTGCATGAAGTCCTATGCTGGGAGTGGGCCAGCTCCAAGCTGACCTGGACAGTATGCAAGAGACAGGGGATGAGAGTGAGATACTCATAGAGAAAAGTGTCTTTTAAAGAAATTACTTGATACCTTTGCAGTGTTTGATGAAGGATCTGATTCTGGTTTGCTTTATATCCAGTTTTACAACTAGTATTACTCTGTCATGAAAGGTTTCTTTCTTTTTTTTTATGAGTACTGGGGATCGAACTCACGATCGCCTGCTTGCAAGGCAGGTTCTTATGCCGCTGAGCTAAATCCCTAGCCCTCATGAAAGGTTTCTTTTCAGAAAAGCATCCTTCTTAAGGATATAATTTGAGTGGCCTCATTAGTACTATAAGCATTTGTACCATGAAGGAATGTAGAAGCCACTTATATTAAGAATTTTAATGTAATAAATTATGAACTGGAAGTTTAATGCATTATTTATATATTTCATACATGTATATGCATCAATACATTATTATATATATATAATTTTATTAATATTTGTTAATGTAGTACAGTATATATTTATATATACAATAGTCCCCCTTTGTTCATGGGTAATACATTATAAGATGTCAAGTGCATGCCCGAGATCATGGACAGTCTAAACCCTATATATACTATGTTTTCCTTTGTGAGTAAATACCTTTGATAAAGCTTAATTTATAAATTAGGTACAGTAAGAAATTAACACCAATAATTAGTAACAGAATATAACAGTTATAGCAGTGTACTCTTATAAAAGTTATATAAGTGTGATGTTTCTCAAAATATTTTAATTCCTAATTACAGTGTAGTAATGTTAAGGACTGCACTTAATCATGGGCACCCGAAGCCATGGAAAGTGAAACCACAGGGAAGGGCTGCTACTGCAGATGCCAGTGATCGCTGGCCTATTCAGGATCAGTGTGTGTTATGGACTCTGAGAAAGGGTGATGAGATGGTGAATCAGTGACGCCTGTTTGCTGGCTGCCTACGGCAAGCAGCAGTGATACGTACTTTACCTCTTTCTTTCTAAGCTTTGCAGTACTTCTAGAGTTAGACTTAATTGTTTCCATTTAAAGCAGTGAACAACTATATCCTAAAAAAGTGTCCAAGGTGGAAGGGCTAAGAAAGTCATTGAGGCAGAATTCACACAAAGATTTAACAAGTTACAAAGTCGTTATTGTTAAAATCTCAGCCTATATCTTGAAGTTTGAGGTTACAGATGTTTCTCAGTAGAGATCTTTGTGCTATATATGTATCTGAGGATAACCTTTGGCTTTCAGTTCCATTATCATTGTATGTTGTATTTCCCAGTCTCAGGGAGGAAAGTGGAACACTTAAAAGCAAAATCATTGTGTTCCCATGTTTGCCAGTGTGATTTCACTTGTTTTTCTGTAGCATATAATGTTTCATCTAACAAGCCCTGTTCTAGGCTTAGAGAATTTACTTTGAGACAAAAAACTTTTCTAAAGAACCTTTGTCACTGGGGAAGTATATGGTGTATGAATTGTGCTTTTATGCTATTAATGGATTCAGGCTTCATTTGGAAAAAATATTTTTTCAGTTTTACAAAACATATTATCAGCAAAAGTGTATAATGTGGACATAAGCTAACTCAAGCCATAATGAAATAGAATGTCACTTTTCTTTTTTTCTTCCAGATTCCTTGGTGTGACTCAGTTTTCGCCTACACATGCCAGAAAGGCATTTCCATGTTTTGACGAGCCAATCTACAAGGCCACTTTCAAAATCAGCATCAAGCATCAGGCAACCTATTTGTCACTATCAAACATGCCAGTGGAGACTTCTGTGTTTGAGGAAGACGGATGGGTCACAGACCACTTCTCACAGACCCCGCTCATGTCCACGTATTATTTAGCCTGGGCGATTTGCAACTTCACATACAGAGAAACCACCACCAGGAGTGGGGTTGTAGTAAGTATTTTCAGCCTAATGATGTTTTTGGATACTGTATACTTTCTAACCTTAATAACAAATAATTACCTATAACATTCTCATATTTCAAATAGTTCATTTCTTTAATTATTGGGTGCAAAGCATCTTCCTGATTTCAATGTGTCAAAGAGGAATTTCTTTTCTACACCTAGCCCTCTTATTCCTTTAACCACTTGCATCTTTCACTCATATCCCTATTTTTGTCTCCACACCCTTCCTGGGTATCTCGAGGACTGCCTTTGTCTCTTCTGAAAAATTGCTTGTTTCTGTTTGCATGGCTGACAAAGTCACTGCTTACTATGTGAATTATTTCAGATGTACTGAAAATGTGACAAATAATATATTAAAGTCCAGGTACCTGTAGGCAGATCTGTAGACTCTAAATATGTTATTATCTTTGTTCTATTTAATTTAATTGTTGAGAAAGTAAAATATATTGAATGGAGTTGGAGCTCTCTGGGTAGCCCTCTCTGATCTCATTGCCTTCTTCCTTCCCTTAGAGACAATCACTGCCCAAAATTTGGTGTTTGCCACATCCTTATGTGTGTGTGTGTGTGTGTGTGTGTGTGTGTGTGTGTATAAAACCTCCATTTATAGTATGTATCATGCTTTTAACATTCAATGTAAGTGATTTTACTATACTATATATACTACACTGCACTATACTATATTATACATGTCATCTACAGATTATTTTATTTCATTTTCATTGAGTAAAGTACAGAGAGCACTTTCTGTATTAAATTTATAATAAGGATTGATTGGATTCTCTTTGAATGCTATCATTTGTGACGCTGTTGTGTTTTATCACTTTCCAAAATACTGTTGCACTGTGTTGTGTTAGACAAGGCTGTGCCAAATTAACGGTTTCTTCATTTCAATGGCTTACACAATAAATATGCATGCATCTTATTTTTCATGTTAACTATAAAGCAAGGTATTATGACTCTCTTTTTTACCCAAATGAATAAATTAAAGTTTAAAGAGATTAAGAAACTTGCCAGGATGAAAGAATAATAAAATGGAAGGGCCAAAAGTCGTATCTGCTGGTTTGATCCCAAGTTTTGGGCATTCCCTCCCGGCGGCAGGAACTCTGTGTTTCACAGTGGTTGTATGCCTGTGAGACGATGCATCTTATAATTCAGTGTTGCTTAAACATAACAGGAGAACTCAAATTTGTATTTTCAATTTGTGGAAAGTTCATAGCTACCTAGTAACCTCAATTTTGAAAAATAGCTTTGGTTGAAGACATTTTTCTATTACTTTTAATTGAAATCACTGCAGAATCTGCTTAAAAGTAGACTCTACTTGCATTCAAAATAATGGTACTATTGAAGAAATATATAAATTGATTTCATTTGTATCGTCATCAAAATAATATTCTAAATGTTCACTATACAAGGGGTGGCAGACATTTTACTTTTGGGGCTTATAACAATTTGAAATGTTGAATTCCTCTGATTTGGGCAGTGTCTTCTGTGAGCATTTCAAAGATGTAGTTACTGGACCATACTCGGAAAAGGAACAGGAAGACATCTCATTTCCTTTTTGTCTTCAGATTGTGAACACTGACTTGCTGTGGGTCAGCTAGCATAAGGCACACTGGAAATGGTTTTCCTTAGTATATTTTCTTTAAAGTAGCCTAAAAATGTTCTCAGCCATACACAGTTATATGCTTGTTGCTAAGTGACCCCTTTTAAAAACCAGACTTGCTAACTATTTAGATGTGGCTTTTTATTGGAGATGAGAATTTCTAAGTAATTAGTAAACATTTTAAAATTCCTGCCTAATAATTTTTATGTAGAAAAGATAATGCATATTACTGAGTACATTAAAAGGTCAATACATAAATTTTTAGAGTTTATAAATCTAAAAATATTAAAATCAATAAACTAGGAAAACAAAATTACCATAGGAGCTCTTGTTTATCAACTGTGGAAATACAGTTTGAAACTTGACTCTTTTTCTTTTTGTCATCCTTTTGAAATTCAATCTGCTTTCTTTGCAGTTGCTTTTCCCTTTATTACTGGGAGCCTATGGGAATGACATTTCTCAACTCTTAACAGCTGTAAGCAGAGGAAGTTTAGCTGCAGAATCTTGGATGTGGGACTATCTCATGAAGCCCAGGTGGTCATTTCAAATCACAAGCTGAAGCAATTTTCCTTGAGTTATGGGAAAGGAACTTGAGTAGTTTATTAATAATACACAACTGAATTGTAGCAGTGTCCTCAGCGTGAATGCTTGAGGCATAATCATCACTATCATTATTTGTTATCAAGCTACCTACACTTTGCAAAGCACTATCCTAAATAATTAGAAAGATTAAAAAGTCTTAAGAGTCCTCTTACAGAGATTGCAAACTCAACCTTGATATTGAATTCAAATCTGTATATATGTTTTGTTTATGCATACCTGATATGACTTGACATTTTTCTAATTAGTTGTCAACACTTAAAAATTGAGAGCTTGAAAATAAAATTATTTATTTCTGGCTTCTCTAAACAAACAAACAAACAAACCAACCCAAAGGTATTATAGTACCAGACCTATATTCTCACTCGGTAATATTTTTTAATTCATTTTTCTCCTTCAACAGATATTCATTGACTGAATATCAGCTAGTGTTCTTTGCTCTGGTGATTTAGCAGTAAATAAAACAGAAGCTTCTGCTCTCAGGTGGCTTATGTTCTGAAGAGAGACAAGTAATAAACACATAAATGTGTAATCTGTCAGGAGGTGATACACACTATGAAAATACCAATACACTGGTGTGGCAGTGGCCGTCTATTTTACATCACACATTTGCTCCATGGTAGAGCTCAGTCCAGACCACATGTGCTCCCTCATGCCTGCTCCACTTCACTGTATGTATTACTTGCTGCAATCCTGTAGGTATCTGAATTCTCAGGTACAGTCCACAAGCATAATTCAGGATGTTAGGCAGGAAATGTGCATGGAATAAACACTGAATGTATCAGTTGTGAGTTAGTGTCACTAGTATTTGTTAATCGTCCAATAAGAGTTATAAAACATAAGCTGATTTAGAAGAAGGGAGAAATTCCTGAGGCTTGGAGTCTAGATAAGCACTTCAAGGAACCAATAAGGTCCTGAATGATGATTTGATCTTAAGAGAAGCAGGTAACATCCATATTATTCTTGGCAAGGGAAATGTGAATAAGAAAATCAGAAAAATAAAGAGGTAGGGATATCTCCGTGGACAATACGGTAGCAGTATGGTTATGAACTGGATTTTAGAATCATGTAAGTCCGTTTCAGAACTTTAGGCTTCTTTTTCTGTTACTTGGTTTATTATTTAACTTTCTTCTTTCTTTTTTTGTTTCTTTGAGAATTCAAAGTATGAATTCTTCCTTTTCAGTATTGTTCTAGTCACTATAATAGCATAACAAACTACTTCAAAATGTAATGGCATAAAGCAACCATTTTTATCATGCTCAAAATTACTATAAGTCAGGAATTTGAAGGACATAGTGGTGAGTAATTTGTCTGTGCACAGTGATGTCTGGGTGTCAGTTAGAATACATGTGACAGGCCATGACCTGACACCTTCTGCCAGGATCATTTGGAACCATGTTTATCTAGTGTTTATACTTAGCCTCCTGGGATGACACTAGGGGCTGCTGACCATAACATCTATGTGTGACTTCTCCATATGGCTTGGACTTGCTCAAAGCACAGTAGCCTTAGGATGGCTGAACTTTTAAAATGGTAGATCAGTGCACAAAAAGAAGAATCCCAAGAAGAATTTGGTGAATCTCTATGGTGTTTTTTGACTTAGTTTTGGAAATCCATGACATTACATTTACTACATTCTGTTGATTATATATGTGTGTGTCACTCAGGATAGTCCTGACTCAGTAGAAGGCATGGACCTCAGCTTTGAAAGAAAGGAGTGTCTTAAGAATTTATGGACTTCCTTTAAAATTGACAGTCTGTTCTTTGCCCATAAATTATTTATAATGATTATATGTGCCATATATACTTGCCAGTGGGCGCCATCTTATCAAAAACAATGAACTGAAGTTTGAGATCCATGATCTTACCAGCCAGTTTAGGTCTAGATGAAATGATTTGGGTTTGATTTTTCAGCCATGGTTTCTCTCATTCTGAAGACTTGTTACCTAAATAAAAATGTTAACTTTCCTTCTCCATTTCACCAACATAATAATAGTGAGGCTATTATGATTATTGTAATAGCTTTCAAGAATGGGAATGTAGCTCAGTGGTAGAGGACTTGCCCACTGTGCGCAAAGCCTGAGTTCAGTACCAAGTATCACACATACACCTGTGTGCGCGCATACACACACACACACACACACACACACACCACAAAAAAAAAGAAAAGAATGAGGCATATGAGTAGACAACAGTAGTCTTTGGTTCATAGAAATTCTGATGTTTGGTTGGTCAATTCCTTAATTATGGTTCAGTTAGAATTCTCATTTTTGTCATTGAAGCCATTCTCTTCCAAGTGAAAAGCGGTTCATGTTTGCAGTAAATAAAAATGACTGAGTAAAAATAGTTTGTGTTTGCAATTAAATAACTTCAATTTATTCCTGCAAGTAAAAAACATGGGGCCCAAAGGCAAATGTTTATTTTGTGTTAGGTGTTACTTAAATCTAAATTGCGGAGCATGGTGTAATCCCAGCATTTGAAAGGCTGAGGCAGAAGGATTGCTGCAACTTCAAGGCCAGCCTGGTCTATAAAGTGAGCCCCAGACCAGCCTGAACCACGTAGTGAGACTTTATCTAAAAAAGACAAAAAAATCTAAGTAAATTAACTTGTGAAAAACAAACTATTGGCTTCTTAATCTAGCAAGTTACACCAATTTCATTAGATAAAACTATGCTCTCAGGTCTCCTTAAAATGAATCTATTCTGAGGCTTTGTGGAATAAAGATTCTTAGATGTTCATTACTTGACAGAGACACTTGATGAGGCATGCCCTCTGATTTTATAAAG